GAGCACCACTATGTTATTGTTGTATCATTATTATTATTGGTTGCTTTGGTTTTGTTATTTCTAATGACTTTTAATCCTCTGCCCAGAGTGAGAGCTGTGAGATGGGCAACTATATAAATCAGTATAATAAATACATGAAATGGAGGATTAAAAGCAACCTGGCAATAATAAACAGTATGCATTATAGTGGCACTGCCTGAATCTAATAGATTAGGATAATGTGTTTTCTTAAAGTCAAGTTTTCACCTCTTTTCAGAAGCTCAGTCAGGAGAGGCAGTTCTTGCATGTGGGGACAAACTGTTCCACAGGAGGGGGCCACCACCGAGAAGACCCTGTAGAAGGAACTCTTTTGAAAGCAAGACCTTCAGCAGGGCCTCTCTCCCAGATCTTACTGGACCTACTAAGAGACAACCAGGCCCTGAGCCATGCAGGGCTTTATTATGGCTTATTCAGCAAGCCATGGTTAAGCAAACCTGAGCCTAACACAGTGTGTGAAGCTAATCGATAGCCCAGTATACATCCAGAACATTTGTCCAAGGTGCTGTGGTTTTGGATGCGTATAGTAAGGAAGAAATGCCTGTTTCCTAGACCAAAGAGTGCCAGTGCTAGATCATGGTTTGCAGCTACCCTGTTCCCAAGCTTTCACTCAGCTGTACCAGACACAGCAACACTTTTCAAATTGAAAAATGCTGATCATTGCATCCATGTTACAGCATCCTAAGCAGTAGCCACCTTCCTCGACATGGTCCTTCTAGATGTGCCAAGACTATAACTCTCAGTCTTCTAAGCCACTCACGCTCAGACACAAGTGGAAGCGTCTGAAGGGTACTTGGTTGGGGAATGCTGTCGGTAACCTATCACCAGTTGTGGGAAGGATTGCATTTACTTACATATTTTCAACATTTCTATCCAACTCTCATTCACTGCCCTCTGAACAGCTGCCAAAATACCTGAATCCACAATCAGCCTCCAAACCAGAACCAGTAGAATCCATGTACAGTGGGGCAAAAAAGTATTTAGTCAGCCACCAATTGTGCAGGTTCTCCCACTTAAAAA